TAAAAGTATCGGTATCGGGCGAGTACTGGAAAAAGTGGTATCGGTGCATCCCTAATTATCAATGTTGAAAACAGTTGCACTGCTTCATATTTTTGTGGAAACTGTGATACATTTTATTTTCCAGGATTCACAGATGAACAGAAAGTTCAGACGAACAGCATTTATTTGAAATAGAAACTTTTTGTAACATTAAATGCCTTTACTCTCACTTTTGATCGATTTAATGCATCCTTGATTAATAAAAGTATTCTTTTATACTTTCTGTCTGGATTGTGTCAGTGTGTGTTGTGCTTTAAGCACTGAGCCGTGTGTTTCTGTCTGTGTTTCAGGTCGGTATCGTCTTGCATTACTCATCTCTGTCCACGATACTCTGGTTGGGCATCACGGCACGAAACATCTACAAACAAGTGTCCAAAAAACCACAGCAAGCGCAGAACGCAGACCACGCGCAGCCTCACCCCACCGGATCACCCATGCTGAGGTACGAACCTTCGAGTTTCCAGATTGCTCTCGGGTTTATGACAACTAGAGTTGATTTGAAGGAATTAGACTTGACGTTAGACTGAAGAGCAAATGGTCTGTCAAGATGAAGCCCTTACGGTGAAGATCTCGCCGGTAAACATGAGAGACAGCTGCAGGATCCGCTGCGTAACCTTCTGTCAGTGTCAAGCTAATAAGCCCAATCAATCTGTGTTTAACATGTGAATTAACCTCCCGCAGAGCAAATCGCAGAACAGCTTGTACCTGAATCAGTGTGTGCTGAATATGAAGAGTTAATTTGCAAAAACCGATAACTCCAGAAATCACGTTTTTTTTATTGCGCATTCCAAGTAATATCAATCAAACTGCAGTTGGGTTGTTTTGATTTAAGTAATAATAACTTAAACAAATACAGGTAATTTACAAAATTAAAGTTAATTGAAAGTATGTTTTTTTTAACATATTAAAAGTTTGTATTATTGCAAAAGCAGATAACTCCACATTTCATTTTTTAGAGTTTAAAAAAACACTGGTTTAATCTTTGTAATCTCCTCAGATGACAGTGTAGATGCCTGACAAACGTTGTTGTTGTTGTGATCATAAACTGTATGGATGTGATCACACGCAATACACGGAGCTTTTCCCTCACCGTTGTAACGTGCTGCTTTTTTCAGCTTTTATTTTCCTTTTTCGCCTGAAGAAGATATCACAGGTTCATCAAGTTCGTCGAAATGATCCTCGATCACTTTTAGTCAGCTTTGACGAGACTCCTCTCAGCTTGCACGTCTTTTAAGAGTGAAAGTAGCCTTGTCACCTGACCTGAATACAGCGCGCTGATTC